TTCCCTCTCCCCCCAGTCCCTGATAACCACTATTCCACTTTCTGTCTCTATAAATTTGACTATTCTAGGTACCGCATGTAGGGGGAATCATACAATATTTGTCATTTTGTGTCTGGTTTATTTCACTTAGCATAACATCTTCAAGGTTTACCCATGTTGTAGCACGTGTCAGAATTTCCTTCCTTTTTAAGGCTGAATAATATTCCATTGTATGGATATACCACATTTGTTTATCTAGTTGTCTGGCGGTAGACATTTGGGTTGTTCATCTTTGGAATTTATGAATAATGCTGCAACTTCCCTCCCAGCTTTTATGCTATTGTTATCATACATTTTACTTATATGTATGTTATAGATCCCAGAATAGATCGTTATTTTTGTTTAAAAAGTCAAATATCTTTTAAAGATATTTAAATAGAAAAATATCATATATTTATCCATGTAGTTATTTCTGGTGTTTCTCATTCATTCTTTAGATCCATATTTCCACTCATTTTTCCATATAAAAGCATCATTTTCCTCCTGCCTAAAGGATTTCCTCTAACAGTTTCTGCAGTGCAGATGTGCTGATAATAAGCTTTTTCAACTTTTTATGTCTGAAAATGTCTTTATTTTTGAAAGACATTTCAAACTAGATTGAAAGTTTAAGGTACTGAAGGAAACAAATAAGATGTTCCTCCACTGTTTTTTCACTTACAACAAGAAATCTGCTGGTATGCTTATCTTTGTTCCTTTATACACAACGTCTCTTTTTTCTCTGGTTGCTTTTAAGATTTCCTCTGTATTACTGGTTTTGAGCAAATTGGTTATGACGTCCCTTGGTACAGTTTGCCTCATTTTCTTGTACTTGGCATTCATTGAACTTCTTCGATCTCTGGGTTATAGTTTTCAACAAATTTGGAAAATTTTTAATCTTTATTTCTTCAAATATTTTTCCATCCCCCCTACTCTCCTCTCCTCAGGAATTCCATCTACGTGTATATTTGGCCACTTGAAGTTGTCTCACAGCTCACTGATGCTCTTTTATTTGTTTGTTGTTTATTATTATTATTTTTCTTTGTGTATCTCATTTTGGATAGTTTCTATTGCTATGTCTTCAAGTTCACTAATCTTTTTTCATGCAATGTCCAATGTGCCATTCATCCCATTCAGCATGTTTCCATCTATATTTTCTTCCCTAAAAGTTTTCATCTCTAAAAGTTCAATACATATCTTTTTTTTATCTTCCTTGTCTCTCCTTAACTTTCTGAACATATGGAACACGGTTATAATAACTGTTTGAATGTCTTTTTCTTCCAATTCTAACATCTATGTCAGTTTCCAGTCAATTTTGATTGATTACGAAGGGAAACATTTCCTGCTTCTTTTCATGCCTAGTTAATCTTTGCTTGGACACCAATCATCATGAATTTTACCTTGTTGGATACTGGATGTTCCTGTATTCTTATAAATCTCATTGAGCTTTGTTCTGAGATGCAGTTAAGTTACATACAAAGAGATTCTTTCCTTTCACGTCTTGCTTTGATGATTTCTTAGGAGGCCCAGAGCTCAGTTTAGGGCTAGTCATTACTGAGGCAAGACCTTCCCAAGAAGCTACTGCTTCCCAAGAGGTCTACAAAGACTTGTAAATCTTTCCAGTCAGGCTGGTGAGAACAGGCACTGTTCCTGGCCGTGTGTGAGCTCCAAGCTCTTTCTTTTTAATTATTTCCAATGGATCTTTCCCAGCCTCAGGTAGTTTTCTCACATGAATGAGCTGATCACTACTGAGCCAAATTCTCAAGGGTGGCTCTCTGCAGATTTCCAGAGTTCTCTCTCTGTGCATCTCTCTCCTCTCTGGTACTTAGTCCTGTGAAATCGAGATATGTTGGTCTCCCTGGACTCTTAGCTCTGTCTCACAAACTCAGAAGTTTGCTATGCTCCATCTGGGATCCTTCTCCCTACACCATGGCCTGGAAATGCTCTCAAAGCATTCAGCTGGGACAATCATAGAGCTCACCTTGGATTTTCCCTGTATCTCAGGGATCACTGGTCTTCATTGCTTGGTGTCCAGTGTCTTTAAAAACCATTGTTTCATATATTTTTGCCAGTTTTTTTTGCCCCAGGGAATTCTAATGTCCTGCTCTTGGTAATTAAAAGAGATCTAAATTTAACCAGTGGCCAGAGGGTCCGGCCTCACTATCTTCTTATTCCAGGCAACAGGCTGATGAGTCATCCCTGCCAGAAACTGCCCCCATGGCCCTATGGCTATAGGTGCGAGCTGGTCGCTGAGCCCATGCATCCAGCCCAGTGGTCATGTGGGGGCCGCTATGCCCAGGAAGGGAGACTCTGTCTAATTCACATGAAGGTTCCACATGCAATGGCAACCCACATGATCGCCTCCATTCTGACCCTTCTCCTCTCCAGATGGCTACCCTAACTCTTCTGGCCAGCAGGGCTTTGGCAGCCAAACTTGGGGAATGGCTGCTGCCTTCACACGAAGCAGACATAGGGTCTTGGGATGGCATAGCCTTTGCCCCGAAAACACTGGGCTGTGGGTGGCAACAGGAGCGGGTGGCACACTCTACATGTGGTCTCTGGGGCAAAAGCAAGGTTACAAAAGCTTTCATGGGTATCCAACAGTGAAAGGTCCTAACCAAATTTTCCTTTTTAAATAGAAATGGTACATTTGAAGGATCTTTTGCAAATTTATTCTTGGAGTTATTTTGGTTTTTAGTTTTGTGTGTGTGTGTGTATTAGACTGAAACAAAAGGATGACGATCTATCCTTTTATCAATTACAGAGGCCAATAGCTCTTCTGTTTCCTTTAGGAATAATATCTAAAAACCTTCTGTTAATCCTTAGGACTAACTATCCCAAGCTTAAATACTCCCTGTATTAGTCTGCTCGAGCTGCCTAACAAAATACTATAGACTGGGTGGTTTAAACAATGGAAATTTATTTTCTCACAGTTCTGGACGCTGGAAGTCCAAGATCAAGGTGCCTGCATGGTTGGTTTTTGGTGAAGCATCTCTTCCTGGCTTGTAGACAGCCACCTCCCTGCTGTGAACTCACATAGCTTTTCCTCTGTGCACACATGGAGAAAAAGAGGTCTCTGGTGTGTCTTCCTCCTCTTATAAGGACTCCAGTCCTATCAGGTTAGGGCCCCACCCTTACAATCTCATTTAACCTTAATTACATCCTTAAAGGCCCTGTCTCCAAATACAGTCACATTGGGGGCTATGGCTTCAACATGTGAATTTGTGGGGGACACAATTCAGTCCATAGCACTCCTCCAAACAAACACCCCAGCAGCAGGATCACCATCCTCTTTGCCTGGCAGGGGTGTTTACTTTAACCCGGGTCCCCCTGCTTTGTTTTCATTCTCTCGGGATGACAGAGGACTCTCTGGGTTCTTGACTCTAAGCTCGCATCGAGTGGGGTGTCACTACAAGACAGCAGGCCCTCCAGACAAACCTGATGAGGCCCCTTCTTGGGAACCCCAGAGAGATGGTCCTGGCGAAGCAACGGCAGCTGCTGCTGCCCCAGGCCCAAGTCAGGACACTCGGTCACAGGAAAAAGTCACTCTCCCCAGGAACTGCTTGAGTCACACAGGGCAAGCCCGCCCATGCCTTCAAACTCTTCCTTCTTCTACACACGCCCCCGTTCCCCTCTCTCCTCTTCAACAGCATTCTCATCCCCAGCAGGCCTGGCCTTCTTGCTCTCCTCTCACACTGACACCTCTGTGATACAGGGAGGGTACCAGGAGGCAGTACAGCCTGGCAGAGGTTCCCAAATTTTGCTGCACATTAGGATCACCTGGGGAGCTTTCAAAAGCCCCACTGTCCAGATCACATCCCTTAAATCAGAATGTCTGGGTTGAGAGCCAGATATCGGTATTTTTATTGAGGAACTAGGTTTGAATGGGCTTCATCACTTCTAGCTGTGTGGCCTTGGGCAAGTTACTTAATCGTAAGTGGAGATAAGAGTAACACCTACTTTATAAGATTGTGGTAAGGATTAAATGAGTTAATGCTTGTGAAGAGCCTAGAACAGTGCCTCACACATAAGGTACGTGCTGTAAGTGATAACTACTGTTATTACCAGGGGTGCCCTAAATGAAACCAGTGCCCAACAGAGAAAATCACTTACTAACTCAGGAATTGAGGAAGGAGGATCAGTACACTAATGCCCCTAACTGTGAAAGGGAAGAGCTAACATTTATCAAGTGCCCGCTTGGTGCAAAGCATGCATTATTTTACTTAATCTTTACAATAATCCCTCAAGACCAATATTACAATTATTTAACAGAAAAATAAACTAAGGCTTAAAGAGATTAATTCAGGTTAATCTAGTGATGGAATTGGGAATAACACTCCAAAACTCAGGCTCCTCTGAATCCTCTTCTCCACTAGGCTTCAACCATTGCAATTCTGTGTTTGTCTTTGCATTGCTCAATTTTAGCAAAAATCCCAACTCAGTTTAGCAAGAATCCCCCATCCTCAATATCTGAAAAATTCCCCCCCCCCCCCCCCCGCCCCCCAGGTGATGTCTGATCACCCTGGCCTGCCTTCAGCAAGAATCCTGTCAGGTGGGTTTAGCCAGAAATCCCCCCTGACCCTTGATGTTTCCTCTTAGTAATTTTCCATCCACCAACACCTCTCTCTGCTCCTCGGCTATAAATCCCCACTTGTCCATGTTGTATTCATAACTGAGCCCAGTTCTGTACTGAGGTCTCTTTTCTTCTATTGCAATAGTTCCTGAATGGAATCTGTTTTTATCAATTTAACTATTGCCCAGCTCTGGTCTTTCTTTGACAACCTACATACACACACACACGCACACGCACACATGCACGCGCGCGCGCACACGCAAACACACACACTATAGCACAGCTCTGGAAACTCTCCTCAGGAGCTGCTCACAGCTGGCCTGAGGAGCTCTCTTCGGAAAGGAACACAGAAACAGCCCCCATCCCCAACAGTCATGACTCTTTTACACTCATGACCATAAACAGCACCCACCGCGGTCTGCTGTGGCCACGTCGGACTTGGGAGGCTCGGACACCAGCCTCTGAATCTGGGCCAGTGTGCTGCAGGCTTCCTCCATCTCCTTCCAAATGAGAAACACGTCCTCTCTGACCCCGGCTCCTGGGAAGGGAAACACAGCGTGAGTGGGCAGCTATGGCAGGCCTGAGAACTCTCTGGTAGTCCTTGCAGGCCTGGTACACCCTCGCCAAGTTTCTAGAACATTTCTGAACATCAAATTCCACTTTCGCCACTCATCTCTTTCTGAGACTCAGAACTGAAATCCCTAAGGAAGTGCTGTCACCTCAAGAAATCATAAATGCAGACTTCAGGATGCAATAAATGCTTGTAAATTAAATATTTGTAGCAGCCAGAATATTTTAAGATAAATTATTGGTAATACTAAAATAAGAAAAAGAACAAAAATATTCAAAAGCACCTAATAAAAGCCGGGGTGATTGCTTTGAGGAAGGGAGATTCAATAGCATGTGAAACCCCTAATCCTTTCTTGATTTAGCTGAGATTTCCTGCTTCTGTGAAACCATCTTCACAAGTCTTTATTTTCCCCTAATGTAATAATAATTCTTTGGCCTCCTTTTCTGGACCTCTGCTGTCTCAGTTTAGGGTTAGGCTTGGCTGTATGACATTTTTTTTTTATGGTATGGCTCCATTAATATAGACATTTATGTTACTCTCACCATCAGTCAATCAATCAATAAAAGTTAGTCCCACGGGTAAGAGGTCCAAGACTGGGATAGAGGCTCTGCCTTCCCCAAGATCCAGGTTCTAACAGATCAGTAGTTTCCAGAGGTTAAGGAGGGGTGTAGGAGCAGGAGGGAAATGGGTGTGACTACAAAAGTGCAACACGAGGGAGCCGGTGGTGGTCTCTTGACTATATCAATACCAATATCCTGGTTGTGATATTGTTCTATAGTTCTGTGAGAAGTTACTATGGGAGGAAACTGGGTAAAGGGTACATGGATCTCTGTTATTTCTTACAGCTGTGTGTGAACCTACAGTTATCTCCACATGCCTCTCAGCCAGAGGCTGCTGTGCACACGAGGCCAGTGGTGGCTCCAAGAGGCAACCATGGTGGGAAGATGCCACCACCCATTTTCAGTGGCCTTTGTGGGCCCTGCCACCAGCCTGGCACTACTCAAACATTGTGGAGGGTACAGGGGACTCTCTGCCCTGGGGTTGCTTCTAGTATGGATGTACAGACAAGAATTTAGCAGATGTATTTAGAGACTCTAGTTTCAAAAACTCCATTCCAATAAAAAGTTTAATTAAAAAACCCACACAACTCTGTTTCACAGACCGTATATAGTCTGCTCATAGAACACTAATGGTGTCATCATTAAAGTAAGCGGAGTCCAAATTCTCTAATGATAAACACCTTTTTGGGGTACATGCTATGTGCCTGGCATTGTGCTTGGGCCTTTCTAAACATTTTCTCATTTCTCTTAATCACAAATCTGCAGGCAAATTCTATTCTCGTCCCCACTTTACAGCTGTGTAAACTAAGGCAGAGCAAGTTGTCCAAGGTCACACCGCCAATGAGTGGCAGACCAGGGAGTCAAACCCAAGTTGGTGTGACTGCACCAACTCAGCTGCCCTGGAAAAGGGATGCATGGTTATAGAGGGGCCCTGCAGCCCCTGCCCCCAGCTGCTGCTGAGACCCCACCCTCCAAGCCTGTCTACACAATAGTCCACAGATGCCTGAGATCCCACAAGCACAGAGATTGAGAGACCACCATCAGGTCTAGGCCCCCCCAGGAGATTCATCCACCCAGGACAGACCAGGGCAGACCAGAGTTGATGTTTCTGACTTTTATTTATTTATTTTTTGTGTGAGGAAGATCATCCTGAGCTAACATCCATGCCAATTCTCCTCTTTTTGCTAAGGAAGACTGGCCCTGAGCTAACATCCGTTCTGATCTTCCTCCACTTTATATGGGACGCCACCACAGCATGGCCTAACAAGCGGTGCGTTGGTGTGCACCCGGGATCCGAACCTGGGCCGCCAGCAGCGGAGCGCGCGCGCTTAACCACTCCACCACGGGGCCAGCCCCCTGACTTTTAATATGTAGTCAAGATGGGCAGGGCAGAAGTAAAGGGACATCAGAGCTGGGGGCCTCCAAAGTCGGCCAGATCACGTGAGAGAGTATTAATAGCTGTGTTCATAAAGAATCAAGCGACAAGCCCTGACAGAGATGGATGGCCACCATGGCTTTGCAGCCATCAACCGTCCAAGGAGTGAAACATGATGTGTACCCAGCTCCGTACTGGAACTCCAAAAATATCACACGCTGCTGCCAAATGCAAACCTGAAGCCCAAGGGACTTCCTGACCACTGTGAAAGCAGGACTACCCTCCAGCTGCCTGCTTCAGCACGGAGGCGTTAAGTAGGATTCTCTCTTTAAAAGTTTAAAACGAGTCAAGCCTTTCCATTTCACCCAAAATTGTCAATAATATCTTAAGAGGGAGTGTACCACAAGTCAGCCTCCAAGGAAAAATTTCCAAAGAAATACAGCTGACTCTTGATGATCCAGGGACAGGAAAGTGTGTTTAAGGGGCAGCAGTGACCGGGGACGTGCTCCCCTGTGCAGGTGGTAATTAGGGTTATCACTACACTGGTTTTGTCAACGTAATTAGGCAAGTACAGATTCCTACGACGGTGATCAGGAAATGAAACAACTCAAAACTATCCACTTAACTAGCTTTGCTTTAAAAACAAAACCAGCTAGTGAACAAGAAAAACCACAGGGCAGTGAAAAGCATAACTTAGAATGGAGAGGCTTTATTTCAAGCTATTCCACAGGCAGTGAGCAAGGGCTACCATTATGATCAGAGTCACTTCTAAGGGACTTAGCTGGAATATCAGACAGTTGCAGCCAAGGGAGACAGCCCCACTGGTAATAGAAGGGGAGGGAGGACGTGGCACAGGAAATCCCAGTGTTCGGGGAGCTCTGTGAACTTGAAACACTCCAGGCTCAACCAGAGAGGGGATGAAACAACAACGGAGCCTTATGGATCTTGACCACCAAGGGATAAGCCAGCCAAGGCCTGCCACGCACAGAAGCAGGGTATGGTTCCCCATAGAGATATCTAGGTGACCTGAAAGATGCTCCGACCCAAATGGCCCCCTCCTGCACCCACCCGTGACATCCCCCACACGCCGTGCATGTGGTAACAATTTGAAGGCTGCAGAATGCTGACATCAGCTGGGAAAGATATCACATTAGGCTGCTGTTTTTCATCAGCATCCAGTATTGATTTCTCAGACTGCTAGTTTTACAAATGAAATGAGACCCAGGACAGATACGTTTTGATGAGTCATGAGAAGAGCCCACTGAGTACTTGCCACAAAACACCACCTCCCTGTCAAATCTGCCCTGTCTCACCTACAGGATAAAGTCCAGGTGTCAGAGTTCAATTCATTAATCTATTCGTTTAGCAAATATTTGTTAGGCATCTACCATGTGATGAGTGGGCACTGCCAGTGCCGGAGATACAGCAGTGAACAAGGCCCTGTCCCCTGAGTCCAGGGTTCAAGGCCTCCCATAACACTCCCTCTAATACTCTGCCACCATGAACCTGGGCAGAGCACTGTCCTCCCAGCCCCCTAGGGCCCGCTGTACTCCCACTGTCCTCCCTATCAGGGGACTCACTCACTGAGCCCCACCCTTCATTCAAGGCACCGTCCTGACTCCACCGTCAAGCTTTGCCCAGCCACCCCAGGAAACAGTGATCTGCCTCCTGCTCCTTCTCAATTCCCGGGGAATGAATAAGCCACAACCACGGTCCTCAGTCTTTTTGCTGCCAGGACACACTCTCGGGCCAGGCCATGAGATAGGCTGGTGATATATACAATTACTGGCTGCCTGTCACTCCACCTCCAATTCCAGAGAACACAAAGAAGTATCAGCCAGAGATGGTGAATTAGTATCTGCATGACCTTGAATCCAGTCTAATTTAAGTCAATCCTTCACAAACACGATGCTTTATTTTTAGTAGGCAGCTGCTTACAATACAGCTTACCACTCAGCAGAGTGTCCACGGCTGGCCTGCTGTCGAGAGCTGTGGTCTCCTACCTAGAGGAGACCTCCTACCAAGACCTATTCAGTCTTGGGTTATTGTTGATGTTTGCACAGACTGACTTTGCCCACTGGATTGTACGCGTCTTGAGCATAGGGTCAATGTCTTTTCTTTCTTTGTATCCTCCATAGCACTTAGCACAAGATCCAGTGTTTTCAGTAAGAATCTCTATCTTTCCTTGTTTTTACTTTTCCTTACCACAATGAAACAATTATCAAGCACCTAATACACTCTTTCCTCAAGGGATTGCCTGGTGTCGTAATTGACAGCCCCCAATACTGCAAGAAGCTCTTCCAAGCAATATGGAAAACTTACATCATTTGAGCATGTGGCTATTCCCCAGGTCTCCTAGACATCAACAATGGCATGCCTTAAAGCAGTAAGTCATTTCCTTTTAGATCCTTGTGCCACAGCTGGGCAAGGCTCCCCTCACGTATCTGAAACACTAGCATTCCAAGAGCAGGAGGGGAAAGGCGATTAGAAAAGCAGCTAGGTGTGGCACTGGTCAGAGGACAATTTAATGTAGTACCAGAGAGGGCAATCCTCTCTGGTTTGAAATTAAAACCCGCCTCAGCAACCCCAAATCTCAGACCCTCCCTTAGGTCTACCACTATGGTCTCCTTTCTTTGTGGCCCTTTCCCCATCGCCCAGGACTCAGGGGTGAAGAATGGGCCCAGCTGGGTGGAGACTTTGCCGTCTGCCTGAGCCCTAAACGCCTATTCAGTCATGCGGATCTGAAAGAGCTGAATATAACTATCAAAAATCAGTATTTTCAGGAAAGAGCAGCATACACTTCTATTTTCAGAAAGCAATATAACATTTAAAATAGTTAATAAGTTATTAAATTAATTAAAAGGTATTTAAAATTTGGAGAGACCTAAAATTATAATGTAGATCTGGTGTAAGGGGATATATTACATCCATAAAGGGACTGAAAGTGGTGCAATCAGTAGTTTTTGTTGTAATGGAAAAATTCCCAGTTCTTGCATTAAATGATATATTAAGATGTTCTGTTGTCGAGAGGT